TGCTCACAAAAGTGTTTTGTCAATGTCTAAATTCAATGAATTGAAGTACAAATTGCTTGATCATCTACTATATTCGCCAGACTTGGCACTCAGCGACTTCTGTCTGTTCCGAAACCTGAAACAATTCCTCCGTGGGAAGCATTTTTTGTCGAATGAAGAAGCTATAACAGCCGTAGAGGCACATTTCGCAGACCTCCCAGAAACATACTTCCGCGATGGAATAAAATTATTGGAGAGCCATTGGGCCAAGTGTATTGAAGTTAATGAAGACTATATTGAAGAATAAAATCATTTTTAGAATTAGGTATTCTTTATTTCAGTTTCGCTCCGCGAAACTTTTCACGCAACCTGTATGTCGGACAAATAGATATATTCTGATTAGATTAATTCTCTCTCGTTGTAAATCGGCGAGCGGGGGTGAATAATTGAAAAGGTCCGCGCACTAGTTGTGACTTATAAAGAAATTTGGTGGGCCGGTTTACAGATTACCCTGGCAACGCACCATCTTTGATTACGACTAAGTGTATCGATCGCGCGAGAAGAGTCTAGAGGAAACCTACATAAACAAAATGGGACTTATGAGCATAGCAGAGCACGATATGTGTATGTATGTATATGTATGTCGATGCGTGCACTATAAATATCCGTGTGATCGGCGCGCGAACGACGACGAATATAGCTTTATCGTTGCACGGGCAATATAATTGCAGTTGGCGTTCGATATTGGCAATTGCGGCAAATATAGCAATGGTGTCGTGCGCTTTTAAAGGTCGCAACACTTTAACGCTCGTTCCTTGTACCTGTCGTTCTGTCAACAAATTTTTATTTTGAAGAGATTTACACCGCTCTTCACACAGGATGCGCTATACACAGGATGTCACCGAATCGGTGCGCGGTACAATACGAAGAGGAATGATTCTTCGTGGAACAAAAAGAGTAATGTACGATAACGCTTTCGTGAAAAGACGGGGCAACCTTTTCGGAAAAAAATATTACTTTTAGACATTTTGTGTTTTTAAATGTTTTACGTATTTATTAACATATTGTGTACCAGCCTGATTCGGTGGATATGCATTGCCCCAAAAAATCAAAACTTCGAAATTTAAAAGCTAAGAGAATTTTCCAAAAATCATAATACTTTCAATACCGAAATTTTAATATCGAAATAATATCCGGAAATATAATTCTCCTAAAATATTCATTATTACTGTAAAAAAAGTTATCCTCCCCTAATAAAAACTGTATTTAGTAGATGTTTAGCTAAAAGTATATTTAGTAAATTTATATTTAACATATACATATACTAGTCAGTAAAACAACTTTTATTAATGACTAAACAAATAAGATGGCTAATAATTAAATAAGAGAAATCACACTTCTATGGGATGAAATGTCATGATTTTACCAACCAATAATATAATTCTCATTTTTATTTTTTTTTTTAAGACTTTCATGGAATAACATAACGTAGTAAATTTGTATTTAATATTTGTATTGATTAGTAATGTAACTTTTACTATAACTAATGATTAAACGAATAAGATAGTCAATAATTAAATAAAAGAAATCACATTTATAGAATGAAAAGTCATAGTTATCAACCAATAATGTAATTGTCACTTTTAGTTTTTAAAAAATTTTTATAAAATAACGTAAACCGCTTTGATTTACTATCTAATTCAATTTCAATTTATTATCTAATTTTTAAATGCTGTAGCGACTATATGTCAGCTTATATACAAGGTGACGCACCTAAAACAGGCCACTTGAATAACTTTGAAAATATGTAAATTAGAAAAAAAATATTAAATACAGAAGTTGTAGGGTTTTAAGTGACGCAACACATAGTAATACTAGTATAACCTTGAACAGCGTCATCAAGGTTACGGGAAAGTCACCTTGAACCTTTTAAATAGAAACCGTCATTTTTTATTTTATATCTTTCTCTGCCAATTAATTTGAACAACTTTTATTTGAAACATTTGTTCATTTGCCTAATATTTTTTTAAATATCGTAAGCTAAATATTGAAAAAGTTATCAATTCTTCCTTAAATATCTCAAAAAATATTAGACGAATAAAAAATGTTTCAGACAAAAGTTGCCGAAATTAATTGGTAGAAAAACATGATATAATAAAAAATGGTTAAAAAATTTAAGGTGACTTTTCCATAGCCTTGATAACAAAAAAACGCAACAACAACAAATGACAACAACAGACGCTATTCAAGGTTGTACTAATATTGCTATGATGCGTCCACTTAGAACCTTACAGCTTTTGGATTTAATATTTTTTTCTATCTTGCGTATTTTCAAAGTTATTCAGGTGGCCTGTTTTAGGTGCATCACTCTGTATTTTAAAATAACATGTATTTTAAAATAACATCGTCTATAATATTTCATGTGTAATGATTAGACAAGAGCTATATTGCAATACGGATTTCAATGAATAATCTAGCCGGTAATGAGTTAGAAAATTTAATCTCCATAGCTTATGTTAGCTAGCTACTAGCTTTCGACTTGAGCCGACTGGTTACATTACTCAGGTATTATCTTGAAAAAACAGAACGCACAAATTTAATATGTATCTATTTTTATCTTACTGAAATATGTAGATATTAATGCTTCCGGTTGTACAATAAGACAATTCCGATGTTTCGGTAAAATCGTATTTCTAGAAGCTATTCCAGAAGATTATCCCACTTATTAAATTTTGATTAGATTTTCTCCAGGATAATGCGCATCCACCATTTAGCGAAGATTGTTGGGATCGTGCGACTTCAATCATTACAATTTGTATCTCTAAATGCCATTTCGTGCTAATTATTTCATCATATGTGATATTAAATCTAACATAACCAAAATGTAACATATAGGGTGCTAAATTTCAAACGTAACAGGTGAAAAATCTCGAGAATTATGGAAAATATTAAAAAATTTTTTTAAATAGAAAGCCCAATTTTTTATTATATCTTCTTTTTCTACCAATTTTAACAACTTTTGTCTGAAACATTTTTTTATTTGCCTAATATTTTTTGAAATATTTAAGGAAAATTTGGTTACTTTTTCAACATTTAACTTACGATATCTCACTAACTATTCGTCGAAAGAAAAAATAGTATTAGACTTTTTTATTTTATTTATTATCAAGAATATATTACTATAATAGTGCCCTTTTGTTAATTTAATTAATTTAATTATTTAGTTAATTTAATAATTAAGTTAAGTTAATTTAATAATTTCTAAAAGTCGGTAAGTTAACAAAAGTTAGGGCATTATTATAGTAATATATTCTTGATAGTAAATAAAGTTAAAAAGTCTAATACTATTTTTTAACATTAGATAGTAAATAAAGTTAAAAAGTCTAATACTATTTTTTAACAATATGATGTGGCTTTGATCGAATTATTAACGTCATTCATTCACAAATGATGTGGCATTCAATGGAGTAAGTACGTGCACTTACGCGTGATTTCGCACATGCTTTGATCTAACGGATATCGCTACAAATTATTTGTATTGTTGTTCCTGCATATCATATTAGATGATGGATACATTCAGAAAACACAACGGTTGAATGAATCCTCATTGTAACATTGGAATATTCTTAATTTATAAATCTAAAAGTATATTTCGAGCAATCAAAGGTAAATGATCACTAATCGCTTACTGCGCGGTTCGTTCCATTGAAAGTAACCAGCGAAGGATGAACAGTAAAACAAAAACGTTTTGTTCCTTCAGAAATTGTCTACAACGAAACTCGTTAGATAGAAACATTGTCAGATGCACGACGAACTTTCAACCTCGATTTACTCGAAAACCAAGTTTCAAATGAAAATAAAAAGACGCGTTTTTCTACAGTTTCGATTTATTTATTGTATTTTCCTGACGTAGAATTACTCCTTTTCAAGCTGTCAGTTCAGTGACACTCTGAAAATACATATTATGTAATATAATCGTTCTGTGAAACTTACGAAAGCTATTCGGACCTAGACCAGTAAAGATATAAAGTCAAGGATAGCTCGCGATGGAGCAGGAGAGTCTGATTAGCATGCGGCGGCTGAAAAAGTTACTTCTCCTAGAGTCCGCCGAAGTCGTCGGTGAACGGGGAAAGCCTAACTTTGCGAAGAGTCCTTCTATGATTAGCTTCATGCCAGTCGTCGAAATTTCGCGCGTACACGGAAGCGTAAAGTACGTACACGCGGGCCGTAAAAAAAATATGTTTCTCGAAAATTAAACAGTATATTTAGTTGCTGCTAGTCGAGACCGAAACACGCACACCGTGACGAAATACCGCAGGGGAACAGTTTAGCGAGGCGAGATATACATCATTGTAACATTCATTAAGAAAACTTTAATACGCGGTTAAAGCGACGAGCGATCATGAAACGAGTGTTGAGTGGTTATTAATTTCGACCGGTTCGCCACTCGAGGCGTAAAAATATTCTCGTCGTAAACTTTTCTCTCACCCCCATCTTTCCATCCCCATCAATTATCAAATAGCGCGCTGATGTTTTGCGGGCCTCTGTTCGCTTCTGCAGTTTGTTCTTCCCCTAGAAGAGATAAATAGATAGGTAGAGAGAGAGAGAGAGAGAGAGAGAGAGAGAGAGAGAGAGAGAGAGAGAGAGAGAGAGAGAGACTCGCATTTAAAAAGTGGTTTTGCTGTGATTTCAGCGGCTTAACAGATCTAAGGTTAATGTACCATTAGAGATTGACGTTTCACCGATTTCCGGAATTGTGCTATTGACATTCCTAAAAGTTTTCTCACACAAGCGTATATGTACATACCGCGCAACCTGCGCACCTTGGTTCTCCCTCCTGCGCGCCTGCCCAATCAAGCCGCGTGATTTAATTCGAAATGCATATACCGTGGGGAGGCAACGTATACATTACATGCAGGGGATAGTTGTATCCGAATCTAGCCCCCGGCTTCATACGTTTATCCTTATCCCGGCAACGATAAACTAATCGGCTGCGCAAATACATACACGTTGCAACTTACCTTCTCGGTTCCCTCAAGCAACCGACTCGAACTCCCGATGTATCAGAACTAGCCATCGAGACAGAAAGCGAGGGAGCAAGGGAGAGAGAAAGAGAGGATCGCGAGAGAGAGAGAGAGAGGGAGAAAGGGGTATGAAATGGGACGGGAGAAAGAGAGAGAGAGAATGTTTTGACCTGACGCGAGAAGCATGCGTCCGACTGAACATGGCGGCTTAATCGAGTTCCGTGCAATTTACGTAAACTCTAAGAAGTAAAAGGACCCGAATCAAACACATAGTAACACGAACAGCAACTCTGTGTACGCATACAATTCTCGTCGTTCTGTGTATCGCATTATTCAAGCTCCGTCAAAAGATTCGGCTCTTCATGCTCACTCTCTCTCTCTCTCTCTCTCTCTCTCTCTCTTTTTCCCCTCTTATTTCACTTTTCCTTTTTTGTCCTCTCTTCTTCTTTCTCTCGCGAAGGGCCACGAACACGGCGTTGTATTCGTAATTTAGCTCATTCGCTCGCGCTACGCTCGTCGGATCTTTCGGGGGCGTCATTCCTGCGCAATTCCGGCTTGTAATTTCCGCAGGCAGAGGCAGGCGCACTTACGCGCGCACAAGTACGTCCTACTCCGCAATGACTCGAGAATTCTCGGAGAACCTTACCCTCGCGCTATTACACTTGTAAGAGGCTGGATTTGATATTCGTCACCAACGAACGAAACGAGTATTTCAAAGTATATATCCAGCTGATATCTCATTTCGCGATAAACACACTTACGCATGCGTGCACAGAGAGAGAGAGAGAGAGAGAGAGAGAGAGAGAGAGAGAGAGAGAGGGACTTATCTCTGCGAAAAATCACATAACGCAAAGAGCTTCTTTGCGATATGCCGATGCATAGTGATTATCGATCGTGTCTTCCGCTAATTATATCCGTAGAGAGAGAGAGAGAAAGAGAAATAGAGAGGGAACGAGAGACTGAGAGGAATTAATTTACTCATTCGTATCTGTGAGCAAAACGGAAATCACATTATTGGCTCCAGCAAGTTAATAAGGATAATCCTTGGAACACGATCTCGTTCTTTGTAGCTCCTCCCATCTCATATTTTATCATTCTCACGTTTCAGAGTTTATAATTTCACGCGTGAAAATTAATAACCGCGCGCGTTATCATCCTCTTGCTTTACACGCGATACCTCCGTCTAAAATACACCTCGCGGATGATTACGGCTGATACCGTACCGCCGAAAGTAACACGCCGATGTTACACGGCGCGATTATGTCGCTGTTCGTCATATCTTAAAAAAAAAAGTACTACTCTTCATTCAAAAAATCCCTCGACACTCAAATTACCACATATTTCTGCAGCTCACCCGCATTTCGGATAAGCAAGCATTATTTATTTTAGTCATGTCTTGTCTCCTTATGAATCTCCTCTATATATATGAAAAGTCTCGAAACCATCGTACAGTATTTTAATAATGTAGTCTGGAGCTTAATTAACCTTCATTAGGATAAATAAATAGGCTATTTATATAAAATAGGCTATTTATTATTAATTTATTGCATTCGATTTTTAATAAAAGAGACTCAGACACTCTTCCATCTGAATAAAAATTAAGATTCCGGTAGAAAAATAGCGAGGCATCGAAATATTTTCAAAAACGACGACCTTCTCACAAACTAAACTTTACGCAATCAACTGAATTGCAAAACTTCACATTTTAGCTAATTTCAGATGAAATATATTATTTAAACAGAATTTATTAAGAGCTTAATTATACAAAGAATATATACGTAATTTTGCATGTTGTACTTTATAACTATGTGATTCTTTGTCCGCTCGGTGAACAGTTTTAAGTAATGTGTTGAAAGCTCAGTTAGATAAAGAACACGTAATTTTATATGTCAAGTGACTTTTTACTTACTCGGTTAACGTTTCCAAATAGTTTGTAATGCTTCATTATGTTTTATTTCGATGATTAAACAGTCTCTCTCTCTCTCTCTCTCTCTCTCTTTTTCTCTGCAGCTATTTTATCTCATTGTTATATAAGTATTATAACTTTTTTACTTGTTACGATGTTTCTTTACAACGACATTTTTTTCAATTATGTGACTACTTTCATAAATTGTATTTTCACTTCTCTTTCTCCGCAAAGGATGTTCCCTGTTAATAATAAACGAATAAATAAATGAATCTCTCAAGTTTCCTCATGATGAGCACGAAACGGGAAAAGCGTCGTCCGCATATTCATCGTCGGAAACGTCCCGCTTGAAAGTGGCGATGAGAAAAAAGCGAGAGCACAGAAACACGAATGGACAGCGGTGCGGTCACAGTCTTTGCGCGCCGTTCCCGGACGGACCCCGCGGCAATTCGGGCCCGAATCAGAAAATGTAGTTGCACGCAAACGGTTTTGCACCAAATGGCTCGTACCCACGAACGAACTCGTAAAAAGACGTTCGGCCGGCGCTACTTTAGCGATAGCCGTGATACGCGCGTTCCATTAAAAGACTGCGGGCATTCCGCGGCGCACATGTGCGCGCACGAGCGTGTAAGAGCGGCAAATTCTCTCTTCCTCGTTCATCTGTGTAGTGACGTTTTGCACAGCAGGAACACAGGAGGAGCAGGAGCATCGGGAGCGCGTTGCTCGCTTTTTAAATCGTAGCCGGTGCAAAATGGAGCGCGGAATAACGGCACGCGTTAACGTGTCTCTACCAAATGCAACACGCTGGGACGGAGTGAAATTTTCTTCGCCGCGATAGCGCCGCTAACGCGTCGTGTTGCGTGCGTAACTATAGCGAAATATTAGGTGATATTAGGTGATGATATTAGGTGAGGAGAAATATTAGGTGGTGTAATAATGACGTTTTCTTCGCGTTTCGTTGCACTCCATACGCACCCGCGGCTGGAAACACACGAGAGAAAATAGTGCGGTGTCGTGGAAGAACCGCAGAATGTTCGAAGCACGAAACACTTGCAAAGTGCACGTGTGATTCCAGAAAAATTTAGTCCGCTCGTTCGCGAGAGATATCGAGACTCCCGATCAACGATAATTTTACTTTCCGACTTGAAATTGTTACTCGCGCTGATTTCTCTCCAGGTTTAGACTATCGACTTTCTACCTTCAATAAAGTACTCGCATTCCTCTTCCCGTGTCTTATTCTTTCTCTCGTTTCTGCGCCGCGATATCTTACTGAGCTTATAAAGGCTTTTATCGGCTTAGTGGGATCCTCGCTGGACGCTTCAAAGGAATTCCGATGCCATCCGATATGACCGATGAGTCGACAAATTCTTGGTATATTTTATTCAAAAGAAAAAATACTGAATCCTTGTCGCCACCGACATTTATTTTTAAGGAATCTGCCGCGTTAAAGAAATGCGATATTTCAGAACATCGTGTACGTAAGTGATATTGTCAGGAAACTTGGATAAAAATACCACACAATTGTTTTAAAGTAAAAAAATTGTCTCAGTTTGATATTAAACAACTTCTTTTCGAGAGAGAAATAAATAATTAATTAACAGTGTACCTATTATATACAAAATACTGATTTTATTGGAAAATATGAATATTTAAGATTTTAATTGTGTACTATATTTTGCTAATTTATGAGAAGATTTCAATTTGCTTATTAAGAAAAATATCTCCTCAAACATAACTAAAATATACCATTTAGTGATTTGTAAATTTATATGCGTCTCACAATTTATAACATATATATATCCTTATTATTATATATAAAGGGATCAATGTATAAACATTCGTTCCTATTACTGGCTGCTACTAATAGATATTGCCAAAAATAATGTGATATAACTATATTGTTTACTATATTGTTTTTTGTATTTTTAGAAAATATGAAGATATTAATAATATTATTTACTTATAACAGCAACATTATTTACTGTATTCTATTTTACTTATAACAATTTATGGCTAGGAAAACTCATATAATTATTTTATTTGCTAAATTCTGAGGAGTAAATTATAATATTAATGATTTTTCAACTTCGTAATGAGTAAGATTTACAAGTCGCATTCTCTTTAATAATAGAAACGTTTATATATTTTACATCACGCTTATTTCGATAGTCAGTAATAAGGACAAATAAATATTTTAACACAAATTAGTGACATATATTGTGTCTTATATTAATGTGAAAATGCAGGTATCTTGCCTCTTAATTTTTGACTCTCGATTTATAAAATGCCAGCAAATTATTGTTCGAGTTGTCGCAATTAGTGACATATTTGCAATCATGGAATATTCCAACATTTATTACGGTTTTTAATTTTACCTGTTGCAACGAATAATACACGGAGAAAATTTTGATTAAATAATATATCATATTGTATCGCATAACTGCGATATATTTATACCGAAGCCCAAATTGATATATTTCTTTATTAATAATTTGTTCAGATATCTTTTTATCTCTACAATACAAACATTTATATAATATGTAAAGTAATTTCCTAAGATACTTTCAAATGTTTTGTATAAATATATCTCAGCCCGGCAAGCTATTTTCTTAATGTATAAATGTTAATACTTTCAGAAACATTTTCTACATGCATATAAAATTTTTAACAAGAACACATCTTTTAGGATGAATATAACACTCACATCAGCTAACTTATTAACGAATACATTTGCAACTGTCATGAATTAGGACACTGTCACTAATTGAGACCTTTGCCGTAAATGTCAGGAGGATTCCGTCGCGCACGATGTACGCCTTCATCCCTCGTCTGATTAAAGATTGAGCGTGACTACTTATCGAGTGACGATAGCCCACTACGGGCGTACGGGAACTATTGATACAAATCTCCTATTCCCCATGCGTAGCTTCCCCGCCGATCATTTACATAGTCGCGTTACACCTCCCATTACCGTAACCAGTAATTTTGTTAAACACAGATTGTAACTGGCAGCGATACCATTAATATCCGACCGTAGTATCACGTATCATCGTTATGATCTCACGGTATAGTTCGACTAAAACTTTCTATATTGCCTACGCCCATAGCACTGGCACGTGTACCTGACAGAGAATATTGTATAAAAGA